AACTGAAATGTTTTTAAATTATGTTAGCTGACATGTTAAAACTGGAATGACAAATCGAAAAAGTAAAGTACACTGAAGCAACAGTATCTAGCGAACGCAGTCTGTTGTACTTTATTCCTCCTGTCGCTCTGGTTTTCAGAGGGTGAAGTAAATCAAGGCCTGTGGCAGCGATATATGACTCGTGACATACTTTGCCAGCTGTTACATCACTGATACAAGTCCCACATATTCTCATCTGTCCTCTGTGATCTCCTCCGTCCCAAACGCGATCACACGGGATACTGGCAACACGACTGACGGGAACGAGGAGAGGACGAACGGGTCAGAGAGGATTAAACACCTGAAAACCCTGTGAATGTGGGGACATTTGGTCCCCATAACGTGATAAATACCAGGTACACACATACACACACACACACACACACAGGTTTGTTTTTGTGAATTGTGGGGACATTCCATAGGCGTAATGGTTTTTATACTGTACAAACTGTATGTGCTATTGCCCTACACCAACCCTACACCTAACCCTACCCCTTACAGGAAACTTTCTGCATTTTTACTTTCTCAAAAAAACTCACTCTGTATGATTTATAAGCGTTTTGAAAAATGGGGACATTGGGTAATGTCCTCATAAGTCACCTTCTCCTTGTAATACCTGTGTCATACCCATGTGATTATACAAATTTGTGTCCTCATGTCACAAAAACGCGTGTTAACACTTAGTGCTGGTGTTTGTTTAACACTTGCATGAGTGATAGAAGAGTGATCAGTGATGTTTGACTTGGCAAACACAGAACGTTTGACTGCTCATGACGTTCAGTTTCATTAATGACATACGCTTGAAAAGAAATAAAAAATACAGCTTACGTTCTCTCAGAGTATCTTCTGCCGTTATTACAAGAACCAACAAGACAAGACAACATTACACAAGAATAACTGCTTTTCTGTTATATACTGAAATTATTATAAGTAATTAACGTAAAACCTAATTTATATTAAATTTTGAACAATATAATGGAATACTTCTATATTAATTTGATATATAATATTATTATTATTATTATTATTATATACATAATATCTAATATTACATTTTTATTCCTCCATAACTAAAAAAAATAAATATTCTATTATTCTTTTAGCACACACACACACACACACACACACACACACACACACACACGTCTCCAGTCACAGGTGATCCACACACTCAAAGACTGACGTCTGATAGAGCAACAACAACTGAAAGCAAACTTTCTTATCAGGAAACCAATGCACTCTGAAGAAGTTTGTTATGACTGCTTAAGTTTGAGTCAGTTCAGGTCAATTAATTTCATTGGAAGATATTATATATAAATATATCAATTCATACCATTGGATGATATTATGTAAATAAGCAAAGTATATAAAAATATATAAATAAATATACTATTTATTTAAATATATAAACATACAAATATATAAATGTAAATAATATATTATTTATTTAAATGTATATAAAATGTATATAAAATAAACGTGCATATACAGTATATATATATACACACACACACACACATACATATACACAACCGGTCAAAAGTTTGGGATCAGAACGATTTTTAATGTTTTTACATGAGTCTCTTATGCTCATCAAGGCTGCATTTATTTGACCAAAAAGATAGGAAAAAAATTTAATATTGTGAAATATTATGATGTAAAATAACGTTTTTCTATTTTAATATACATTAAAATCTAATTTATTCCTGTGATGCAAACTGTATTTTTTTCAGCATCATTACTCCAGTCTTCAGAGTCACATGATCTTCAGAAATCATTCTAATATGCTGATTTATTATCAGTGCTGGAAACTGTTGTGCTGCTTCATATTTTTTTGGAACCTGTGATACTTTTTTTTCAGGATTCTTTGATGAATATAAAGATAAAAAGAAGAGCATCTATTTAAAATAGAAATATTTTCTAACAATATACACTATCGTTCAAAAGTTTGGGGTCAGTACATTTGTATTCTTTATTTTATTTTTAAAGAAATTAAAACTTTTATTCAGCAAGGATGTGTTAAATTGATAAGAAGGGATAGCAAAGATTTATATTGTTAGAAAAGATTAATATTTTGAATAAATGCTGTTCTTTTGAACTTTTTATTCATCAAAGAATCCTGAAAAAAGTATCGCAGTTTCCAAAAAAACATTTGGCAGCACAACTGTTGATAATTCTAATAATAAATCAGCATATTAGAATGATTTCTGAAGGATCATGTGACACTTTATACTGGAGTAATGGCTGATGGAAATTCAGCTTTGCATCACAGAAATAAATAATATTTTAAAGGATATTAAAATAGAAACCATTATTTTATATTGTAATAACATTTTGCAAGATTACTGTTTTTTCCTGTATATTTGATCAAATAAATGCAGCCTTGATGAGCAGAAGAGACTTCTATAAAAAACATTACAAGTCTTACTGATCCCAAACTTTTGAGCGGTAGTATATATGTGTCTTAAATGCCAGTTACCCAATTTTAACTTTAATATGACAAGAATTTAGTATAGAGTTACTGATATTTTAAACAGGTAACTGCCATGAAAAATCACTTTTTATTTCGGTTTTCAAACATTTTAGTGAATTGAGTAAACATGAACAAAAAAATACTGTGTGCATCAAATTTGAAATTGTAATTGTAATCTTGAAATTGTAATATATATACACTACAGTTCAAAAGTCTGGGAATAAGGGAGTCTCTTCAGCTTAACAAGGCTGCATTTATTTGATCCCAAAAATACAATAAAAATATCAAATGTTATTACAATTTAAAATAACTGTTTTCTGTGTGATTATTTTGTAAAATCTAATTGATTTCTGTGATCAAAGCTGAATTTTCAGCATCATTACTGCAGTCTTCAGTGTCACATGATCTTCAGAAATCATTCTAATATGCTGATTTGATGCTGAAGACACATTTATGATTATCATCAATGTTGAAAACAATTGTGCTGCTGAATATTTTTGTGGAAACTGTGATACATTTTGTTTTTCAGAGCTCTTTGATGAATAGGAAAAATAGAAATCTTTTGTAACACTATAAATGTCTTTACTGTCACTTTAGACCAATTCAATGCATCCTTGAATAAAATTACATTTGACTTTTGGAACATAGTTTTGGAAGTACATGAGTTCCTCCTAACCTTTTCTAAAGATTTTCAGGTATAAACCATGCGAAACTCGCTTCCTTCACTGACCATAAGAGCCTGAAGCCGCTTTGAACAGCAGCAAAAACAACATCCTCGTTCCTGCACAGATACAGAAGCGGATGTTTGAGGAGGAGCGGCTCCAGACGCCTCGAGTTCACCCTGTTTTTGCATAAGGCACTATTTTGAAGAGCTTTAGGCAAATGTGCATTGGCTGAAAAGGAAAGTATTTAGCACACATACTGAAGTACATGTGACGCTCGCAGTGTTTTCACATCAACTTCATCTCCAGAGCTGCTCAGAGTCACGTCACCAGCATTTCATTTGAGAAAAAAAACTATAGTCATATATACACACAGAAACAAAGGTTTTCACAGCAACCCGTCAAAATAAAAGTTTGGCTTAACTTGAAGAAATTGTGGCAAATATATTTCAGTATAATGTATTGCAATGTCTTAATGTAATAATAATAATAATAATAATAATAATTATTATTATTATTATTACAACTTCATTTTTAAATGGATAATCACTCAAACGTTGGTCCATGTTTTAATTTTAACAGTAAACCTGCCGTGTAGAAAAAAACAAAACAAAAAAAAGTTTAATTGTCATTTAATTAAAATATAAAATAATGTTTTGTGCCTTCATTTGAGTACCAGGAAAAATAAAGTGAAAGTGATAAAATACACAACACAATTTCTGAAGAAAAAAAAAAATATATAAATAATAATAAAATAAAAAAATAAAAATAAATAAATAG